TCCACCCTGTGTCCCGTTTATTATTGTATCGAGAACTATTCGACTACTCTGGTGTGGCTAAATATTACAAGAGCGCAGAGCCGGCCCGAAGACCCACGAACAATTAAGCCCAATTCACGGGCATCCATTATGGAACGATGACTTCTGTGTTATTCATAACAAAGGATATCGGCTTCCTATTGCATAGCGTTCTGGGCGTAGCGTTCCCGGTTATTGCTACGCCGTAGCAGGGAGATTAGTTCGCCGGATGTACGGAATTATTGCAGTACTGTTTCGAGACCCCGACGGATAGTTGTGAGCCCGGAATTTCAGATTTTGGTTGAACAGAGAATGTCGGCGGATGATGGCTTGATTTTAACCCGAGGGCGATATTTGTATTGAATTTAGTTTAATTTGTAATCTCGTATTGTGGTTTCATTTTGTACTCCGTTAGTTATGTTGCTAATATTCTAAGAGTTTCTCACAACTTACGCTCGATTCCAATTAATTTCAATAATTACCTTGCTAAACTCCTCTATTTTAATGATTAAGTTCACTGTTTTATATATAAAATTAAAAAACACTTTTTTAATTACAAGTGCCTTTTAAAACGTTATTTGCCACGATATTTTCACATAGATCATGGTAACATTTGTGATAATTTTTTTTTTGCTAAATTCCTGGAAAAGCAGTATTTTTTACATACATGTCTGGCGTTCCTAGCGTCAGACACACATGACTGACATGACGATTAATGTGTCAAAGATTACAATGATCATATTAAAGGATTGGAGAATATAATCATAAATTCAGTGAAAATTATCATTTTATGGCGATTGATTATATCCGAACTTTGTCAAATGCTTGATGTAAAAAATAATGGAAAATGCAAAGACTTATTTAAAAAATTCACGTTTATTACATAGTAACCACCTTGCAAAATAAGTATTAATAATCAGTATTTTTAATGCCTATTTTTGTAATACTTTGAACATTTGGACCAAGTGAATCTGGAGTTCATATAATTCATTAAATTTTGATCACTTAATAACGCTTAAATTTTTACTGCTACTTTTATTATATTTATTTGTGAATTTGTCAAATAATATATAGTAAATACAAATAACTCTAGTAAATAAAAAGAAAAATAAAAAAATAGTAACTCTAGAGACTTATAGTAATGAAAATTTTGTATCTTGATTATACAAATTTTTATACTATTTTTTTATCATCTTAAAGTTATTAATTTGCAACTTTATTTGGTTTTGAAACTTTATTATATTGGTGGGAATTACTACGATTAATTAGCAAATTGCAAATGGGAATTATTCCGTCACCATGAAAATGTGAATAAAAACTATCTACTTCGCAATATATGCTGATCTTTGATTTACATGCTTTTCTATTTTTTTTGGTAGGCTCTCAAAATTATAATAAAGTGTAGGCATTTATATGCATACCCCTACCCCGGAGGGGTTAGGTTTAAATACAAAAATCCTTAGCTAAATCTTGACCATATATGATCGACTAGTTATACATAGAATTATAGTAAAAGAACATTAGTAAACAATTAAGGAATTATAGTATTTTCTATAATATGCAATCTTTTTATATTATAGATATCTGTACCGGTTCAAATAAATTCTAAAGTCTAGATTAGTATTTGAATATTATTTTGAACTATCAATCAAACCATCAGTCTCAAATTTAATACTAAACTTCGAAGCACACAGATCAAAATCTAAGCTGGCATACTCAACATACTTGCCATTGTGTGCTTGAATTTTAATAACTTAACTAACTTGTATCATATGAAACTTAGAAACAACAAACACGCATGTCACCCATATTGATATTTGAAGTTTGCAACCCTCGTTGAAATTTGATCTGAAGAACGTGACACATGAGACAATAACGTAAAATTAATTCTCATTTATGAATATTTCATAAGCTACAAGCTTACAAGTTGAGGCCATTAGTATTTCATATATGTAGGCATACTTATGTATACTTTTCTCGTGAACTTAGGACGTTTATTAAGAGGGGTAAAAATTGAGCAATTTATATATATATATATATATATATATATATATATATATAAGGGTGGTCCTTAATATGGACATTTTCAAATTTTTCTAAATTGATAAAAAAACAATTCTCTGAAAGTTTTAGCTCCTAATATTGTCTTTTAGATAGAGCGCATTTCAAGCAAAGATTTGTATGGAAATAGCATGAAAATCTTTTCACAAATTTTACGGAGCGCCGAATTTTCAATAAAAAATGACACGAATTTTTACTTTTGATTTATTTGTCGCTAAGTTATACCCAAATTTTTTTTTTTAATTTTCAAATTTTTTTCCAATTTTTTATTTTATTTTTTAATATTTAACGTGGTGCTTTTGCTTTTTTATGATTTGAGTTTGGATGTTTACAGCTTGTCAATTTCATTTTTTTTTTTAATTTTTTTATTTTTATTCAATCTATGTATTGGCCGTTTAATACTAATATGTTTCAAAGTCGAAAAAACCATCAAGAACTTACACCAATTAAACGCTACTTAGGGATGTGAAGTGACTAATAACTTTGTACCCATTGAGATTTTAGGGTCACCTAAAACTAGATAAATTACTTGGGCGATTTACTATTTCTCCGCTGTTCAAGGGCATAATTAAGCAAGAGCGTCAGTTTGTAAATAAAACGATTCATCGTAGAAGCGTCGTAATATGTTTGTTTTCAAAGTTCTGTCGTGCGGACGGCGGAAGACTAATCATTCGGTGCCCATCGCCTCGGCTTCAGTCCCAATATTTAGTGCCTAGATGGCAAACAATATGCCCGCGTGCCTGATTAATTAAATAAGGCCCCGTGGCTAAAAGCTAAACCTTTTTTAGATACTTTTCTTTACTCTTTAGACTGGTACATAATCCATTTCTTTATAATTTTTCTAAATAATATGTAATAACCATCATTAATTAATGTTAGTCAATAGTTAAAAAAAACATAGTCTTTGACAGAATAAACCTGATGATGGAACGTATCTAGTTCCGAAACGTCGTTATTAAACATCTTCAAAAAAAAATTGTTTTTTATTATTAGTGTTACTGTTCGGAAAAGAAACAATCAATATACATATATAAGTTAAATATTAAATATTTAAAACACTATAGTGCAACAGATATAGTACGATAAATATCTGTATATAATTCCAGAAAAATATTCTTTGACTCGCTATGTATAAAACATGCTTCACACTTACATTGTTAGATATCCTCTGCAGCAGCTCCCAAACACTAAGTCATTACTCGAACCACCTCTGGAGCATCTACCAGAAATCTCTAGTAGTCGATACAAAATCACTACTTTAGAACCACTACATTACTTTACTCTTTTATGAGTATATTTGACCTGTTGCAATTGTCTGAGTAAAGTCTTTACACAATACACGACACACGACTTATATTAGAGACTTTCGTGAATTTAGAATTCGATAATAACAGATATGTGTTGGAAGTACTCAATGTAACCTACAAAAGCACATATATAAATTATACTATTGATAATTGCATGTATATAATTAAAGGATACATTGGCACTGTAAATACATTGTTTAATTATAAAATTGATTCAAAATGGAGAATGAAAGAGATACTTATCAAACTATTCAAGGTAGTATACTATACAAGGTACTACTCAAGTATATAATTAAAGGATACATTGGCACTGTAAATACATTGTTTAATTATAAAACTGATTTAAAATGGAGACCCTGAAAGAGATACTTATCAACTATTCAAGATACATCTAGGCACTTCCAAACATACCCATTTTTTGCCTTTTAATTAACGTTTCACGATAAATTTATTATATCAAATTGATCTACTAAATTAATTACACGTTTTGATGCATAAATTAATTAAAACTAATCAAAGATTTAATTGAAAAGTCTTAATTAACGCGAGGACATGTTAATTCACGAAAAATTCTTTGACAATCGAAGCAATTAAAGTTAGCAACATGTGCCACTTGTTCAATTTAAAGCGCGAAATTCAAATAGAAATTAAAATTGTGAAATTTACCTATTTGAATATATACGGTAAAAGAAATGTGTATAGTCTTTGGATATGTGATTGAACTGTGAAAAAAGCAAAGTCTTTAGATATGTAATAGATAAATTTTTATATAAAAAAATGTAGATTTGAAATATATATATACTTATATACTTTGCATTTTATCGTTTATATTCATATCACATATCCAAAGACTATATACACGATACACACTGCCTTAAAATCATAAAAGATGAATGATGAGAATATGTAAGAAATATGGGAAATATGAATTACAGCAAATGTCTAACCTAAAAATGCACGTTTTGCATCAAAAGATATTGGTTGAAAGCAAATTCAACTTATAATGTGTCATCCGCCATATTTGTTGGTCGTCAAGCTTCACTTAAAATCCGCTAGAGGAGAGCTTGCCCGTCATAAAAATTAAAGTTGTAAAGCTTTTTTATGAGATAATTGTTATTATTATTATTTATGAATAAATCATATTTTTATATTGTCTTGGTTTCAATACAATTATATAAACAATATGAACTTTACACAGTATAAATTTTCCAAAACTGCTTCCGTTTGTTCTTCCATCTTTGTAAAGCTCTCTATGGCCATTTACCATATTAATGTTATGTTGGCAATGCGTTATTGATGAGTCTCTCATCCCGGTCTTGCGAATATACAACTACTATGTGGTAGCATCTGACGTTCGTTGCGTTCGCTTGGCTTGTGTAGACACAAACCAACACTAACCGCAATCGATGCATAGAACGTACACAATACAAGTATAATTTACGTCTTCCCCATGCTGCTTGTGCAAAACAGATCATTTAATCAGTCGCTTGTGCTCCGTCATGGAGTTATGTCTATTGCCAATTGTACAAACAAAATGAAAATTAATGTCTGTGATATGAATAAGTGAGATTATATTGTGTGTGTGTTAAATGTTTTATTGAAGAAACTAAAAATGCATTTTTATTTTAAAACTGGCCCTGGTGTTCATGTTATATGCATACAGAAGAGAAGTAATTTGGGGAATACACAAAAATGGAAGATGATGCCGATATAAGAGAACAAATTTTTCACAATAATGTCAGAGAGCAGATTGTAAGTAATAGATTTTATTTGACTACACATATTCGTATTTTTTTGTTATAATTTTCTACCTATAAACGATTTATTTTCTACCTATAAACGATTTATTATTCTTCAATGTATTCAATTGTGTAAAACCAAATTAAATCTCATCGTTATAATTATAATAACAATATTATGGCAAAATTTCTAAATTAAAAATATAATTTGACGTTTACGAATGACAGCTATTTATTTCTTATTTTTGTTTACATAATCGTTTAATGAATGTTTACACGTTTCCAAGCTTAATACCTAATTATTTGTTTATTAATTTATTGTATTTTTTGTATTTTATTACATACAAACGAAAATAATTGATGAAATGTTTTTAATATAGTTTTTATCTCGCTATATATTTATATTTTCACGTCACATTCACTGTCAAATTTCTTGTCCCTAAACTAAAGATAAAATGTTCTTGTCTAGTAATAAAACAAATATATTATCAGTTTTAGGCGAACATTTTTTTTAATTATTTTGGTTTGAAATTATAATTTGTTTACATTATTTTTTTCGATTTGTTTACGTTTGTTAGCTTCAAAACAGATGCTGTTTAAACTGTTCAAACAATTTGTTACAATTTACAAATTGTTTACATCGAAACATGCATCGAATTTTAAAAGAGACTTTAAAATAGAAATAACGTAGTTACTTTGTAGGAGATTAAGATCCTTGAAGAATATATATGATATGTTAAAATCTCATAAAGATTATTTTCAAAGCAACTAATTTTAAAAATATGCTAATGGGTTGCATGGCATCGTGCCTTAAGGCATATTGCTGGCACTTCCCGTACCGTAATTAAACATCTTGGTACGGATCCCAAAAAAAATTACCCAAAAAGGTGTACCCATTATTAAAAATCTCTATAAAATATCTGATAATTCAATATACATATGTCTAATAAACATTCTTGACCGCCAAATGACATGTTTTTAACCTATTTTTATTGAGAGTCTATAACCGCTGGACCTGCCTTTTTGTCAAAACAAGTAAAATGTCTTTTGAAATATTAAAATCGGACGCTCGATTCTCTTAAAAACTGAGTTACAGTTTTTGGCACGTTTTGCTCCGTATCTTTGGAACGGCTAGACCTGCCTTCGCTAAAAACTAATCAGCTCGTCCCCTTATCAATACGAATTGAATGTTTTTTGAATTATTCAAATCGGTTAATCGGTGTTCCCGAAATCGTCGACTAAAATTTGTATCCGCACACACACATACACATACACATATACACTCAGATACACATACACACATATACATCCATTTTTTCTAAGGTATGCCAAACTAGTCAGAAACCTTTGAAACGTAAAGATACATAAAAATTTTTATTTTCGATTTTTTTGCGATTTATCATAAATAAATCTGGAATAAAGCATTATTTTAAAATCATATTTACAGGAGAATGAATGTTTATTAACAATAAAACAAAAAACATATACAATGGATATATATTCTTAATGCAATTCGTGTTCCAAATAAACTGGAAATAGTAAATCTAATAAGTACAGGCGCTATGGGCTTATTGTAACAGTTTTTTTTAAATTAATATATCTTGAAATCCACTGACTATATGTTTTAAAGATCAATAGATGCTATAGCTATTTCTTTACCGAATCCAATATTAATAATTTTATAACTATTGTTCATTATTTCAAAGTTAACCATTTTGTAGAAAAAGTCTGGTGTTACTACTTACCCCGTGTTTGGGGCTAGTTGCAACATCTACCGGTGCAAAAAACGACAATAATACCTTTGATAATTTATTCTTTTTCAGAAAATTGTCATGTTTCCAAGTAATTCTTTTCATAAATCAACGAAAACTATAATTAACACTTTGATGACCGGGAATGTTACTGAAAATCTCAAGTCACCAGATATTATATTTTGTAATAGAATGTGAAAGTAAAACAATAAAAATAAATTTTAATACATTTTATTTATTACTCAGCTATTAATATTTCTCTTTATTTGATTAGCAGTATAACAATCATCCACATGTACCATTACACACAACAGGTCTTGCAAATATATGCACTTTTCAAAGTGTTAAAACACATAAAAAATATCCCATGTCTTGTCATAGAAATGTTTATCATAAAGAATAAATATTGAAAAGGATTGGGCCAAAAATACTTCCTTGGGGGACTCCTTGCTGCTATATATCTTAATGATGAAAAACAGTTATTTATATTGACTTTAAATTGCCTATTATTTAAATAATTATTAATTGTATAAATTAAATAATTTGGGAATTTAAATTTGATCGGCTTGAATATAATCCAAACCGTATAAAACGCTTTATAAATCTATATATTGACTTTAAATTGCCTATTATTTGAATAATTATTAATTGTATAAATTAAATAATTTGGGAATTTAAATTTGACCGATTTGAATATAAGTCCATTAATCCAAACCGTATAAAACGCTTTATAAATCAAAGTAATCTGCAATTAATACAAATAATATTATAGGTCAGTAGCTATGACAATATTATGAACACAGGACGGTTTACATGTCCAACCGAAGCGAAAAAATATTTTAATATCGTTTAAGATCCTTTTAAACCCCTTTGTTATTACTTACCCTTGTAACATAAAGCTCTCCTAGCCGTCTAATTTTGGTTTTGTGTTTTTAATCATTTATTCTTCCCCTGTTGTGTTCTATATTAAATAATTTAGATATATTTTATATGTATACAGCTATTTATATAAGTTTGTATGTATATTTTGTGTAAACGTCCGGGTCTATGTAATCAACTCCTGACAATCATTAGAACAAGAATGTTATTGATGCGTCATAACCCACTTAACACTTTCAAGAAAGTGGGACGTCAAACGTCTTTCAACTTTTGAACTTTTGGTTAAGAAAAATACACTAATTTAATCAATTTAATACTAATTAATGCAATTAGAGAGTACTGCAATAGGCGGCGTTCAGCATTTTTAAGGCTTTTTGTATAGTATTAATAAGCAGCTTAATTTCTGGTGCTAATAGCTTATTGGCTCTACATTCAGTGGAAGTAAAGTTGCCACGACAAATAGAGTAAAAGTAAATTCATATATTAGCTGATGGCATAGATTTATATAAAAATATTTCAATTAATTTATGGTTTTAATGGCCGTGCAAACAATAACTGATTTATATTGGCAAGCTGAATAAAATATTCAGAAGAAAGTCAATGGCATTGACAAGGACAAGATGTAGTTCATTAAATAATACTGTTAATTTTTACTGTCGTTTGAATTCAAACATCTAACTTGTGTTTGTATTGGATGCTTCGTGTTGAAAGATAAAATACATATCAATTACTGAATCCATTTGGCTTATCTTATCCTTAAACAAAGCTTTTCCTCACTCACTCTTAGTCTTATGTATCACACTGTTGAATAAATAAATCGTTTCAAACAAACAAACAATTCACGCGTGCTTGATCCATATTTTTTTTCAATTTCTATAACTCCATCGATAAGCCACCGTTATATTTAATTGCTATTATACACGAGAAGAGTTATTCGATTATAACTTTAAAGATTTCCTTTCTCTCTTATTTTTTTAATTGCAAAACTTAACACGTTTATGAGCTACCATTATCTTCTCCTTAACATCGTCACTTTTTAGAAGACTACACAACGGATAGTTTTTTTTTTTTTGTTGTTAACTTCCCGAAGGAGAAGTTGTTTTCATCAAAAAATCTGATATACTAATTTTATGTTTTCTCGGCGTTTTAAGCCATTCTGAATCGAATAAGACCAAATTTGGAAAAAGTATGTATGTGTGTGTATGTGAACAGATTTTTTGCCGTAAATCGATGTTTTCTCAAAAACGGCTGGACCGATTTTAAAAATTTAAAAGCCATTCGATGTATCTCGATGAGGACTAGCGTTTCTTTTGGACCGTTTCTTTGTAAACCGCAGAAAAGTGAAAAAATTTTCGTAATAAATAAATAAATTTTTTTCACGATTTTTATTATTATTTTTTTGATGGTAGATACAATAGTCTTCTAGATCATACTAAAATATCACGGCCCCACGACAACTCGTTTAACTTTAAAAATTCGTCAAATTTTACAAAAATTGGTATAGTTTTTTTGGCATTTGTCAAAATTAGACCTTTCATCGACGTTTTCTCAAAAACGCCTGAACCGATGTCAGAAATTTAAAAGCCATGAGGACTATCGTTTGTCAGTTTTGTGCGACGATCTGCCAAGCCGTTTCTTTGTCATTTGGAAAAGAGTGTTAAACTTCTCGTCCACATTTAAGCTCATACTACCGAATCGATTTAAAAAACATCAAAAATTGTTAGTCAAAAGATATTAGTTGGGAATGATACTGATTAGTGTTAGGTGAAAATTTATCGACCCGTTTGCTTGTCATCAACTGTTGTGAAAAAAATGTAAGCCGATTTTTATGGAACTTTATTTGGCCATATATATCATGGTTTTATATAACTTACTGAAATATTACGGTCTTTCGACAAGTAGTTTAATTTTAAAAATTCATCAAAGTTTGAAAAAATGAGTAGTTTTTTTGACGTTTGTTAAAAATAAAATTAGACAATTTACTTGGTATAACGATAGAGTACCAGGTCTTAATGAACATGCTAAGCCATTAAAATCCTATGGAAACTGGTTCAATTTTAAAAATCATTAATTTGAGAAATATGCTTTTAGAAAATATTTTAAGTTGTTTAAGTGATCGTTCGTTCTCAATTATGAGTAATAAATCCACTCGGAATACTTTTAATAACTCATAAATTAATTTATTTTTATTGATTAAATCGATCAAAATACCAATTCCAACTAGTTATGATTTTTCTATGAGAGTGCAACCCAGTGGTTCACCATTCATTCTTCATATGAACCACGTACATTGTAGCGTATTAGATATGTATATTTAATACGCTTAACTTGTCTCTGATGCAGCAATGTCCACGAAAGAAGATCTGTAACTCAAGTGGAAACT